TCACAAAAGATATTGTCTGTCATAGAGCTGTTACCCCTGCTGTTGCCAGGCTCTCCACAAAGGCTGTTGTGCTGCTGTTGCTGCACTGCAATTTAAGGACAAAAGGAGCATTGTCTCTTCCTTCACAGTGCATAGCATCGTGATAGGAGAGTGACCGACTTGGGTGCTGAGCTAAGCGTTCCCATGGTCCTAAGCGCTGGCCTAAGCACCCTGACTAAGCAAAGATAGGGGTTATTTCCAAGAAAAAAGAGAAGAAAATAGAAAAAATCATAACAGTTATAGCTTAGAGAACAAGACTGACACTATCATGTGTGTAAAATAATCCCCACCTAGATACCACTTTAAAGAATGTGTTTGACAAAAAAATGAACAACTTCAATCATTGATTGTTTATACAGATTTATATTGGCATCTTGATAAGACTTCCACAGAGTCACTGTATTTTGATAATCCCAATTAAGATAGTTAATTTGTAATTTTTAAAAAGAAAACAAAAGTCACTTGTTTTGTAAAATAGCAATAATGAAAATTGAATTTGCCTTATCTGTTGCTGACATTGTCTCCAGGGTCATAGTATCTTATATAGTAAGAACAGATATATGTAAATACTGATGTATAACCAGAGCTTATCAGTCTTATATTCTATACTAGAATATATATTGTTCTGGTGAGATGAGGCTTACAAAAAACCAGCAAGGAAATAAAACATGTAATGTCACCACAAACTTCATATGGATCTGTGCCTCAGAACAGATCAGAGGCATTGTGGACATCATGATGGTTCAAATCTATTCATTGGCAATCAAGGGATGGATTTACTTCTTTTTAAGTATGCAGTTCAGGTCTCAGACTTTGATGTTTCTTCTTAATTCTAGTGTGATGCTTGTGATCAGCTGGTTCATTCTTCAATTTCCAAACATACTAGAGAGAGATTAAGCATGTACCACTTTGCAGCAAGAGACAATAGGAGACATTGTTAGGTTAATAGCAGTAGTGCTAACTCTAAGCAGTAACTCAGGGAAAATCTTTGGCTATGCAAGATGTGGGCTGCCAGTGTGTACAAGAATGAACACATGAATAAGATGAAAAATACTTACACTGAGTCTTGCATATCACATAAAGACTTGAAGTGGAAGAGGATATCTTTCAGCCATATCAAATTATCTGTATACAAGGATCTTTCTTGAAAGAAACTCAGTGATAGCAGAGAAAATGGGAAATTGATTCATGAAAGACTATGAGCTTGAGATAAATCATCTTGCCTCTCTTGATATGGGTGTCTTGGAACTGCATGGTGGAATCCCAGTTCAGTTATATTCTCTGGATGGATATTCTAATGCAACATTAATAACAAGCTTGTAGTCTCCATGGAATTAACCAATATGTTGAAGTTCTTCAGCATGTTTTAGCTTGTCAACAAGTCTTATTCAGTCTCCTTTAAAATGGCAATCCTCCAACCTGTGCTTGGATACCACAGAGTCAACAGCCAACCAGCTGCCATATCTAACTAGTTTTCTTCTGCAGTCCTCTTGACATGCTCCTTGTCCTTTGTATTGCCAGTAGACTCTGTGAAATATCACACTCTCCTGCATAATTCTCTTCTCCTTGACATCTCATTCCTCTCCAAAAATTAAATCCCCCCACTATTCATCAAAAGTCCTATTGCAATCATATGAATTCATTATTACTGCATGTAGTTGATCTTGATGATTGCAAGTTCAAGCAGGCTCAATTACTGTGACTTGAACAATAAACATTAATACTGGGACTGGATCTCCCATGTTCCCTAGAACTTACCAGCATACCAACCACATAAAATCTATTTCTGCATATCAGAAACCCCTCCAGACCTACTCTAGCTATTGCATATTCAACTGTGATGCAATGCTGAATTCAACTTGTTTTGATTGGTGTATTTGGTGCCAACAGTACCATCCATTAGTGTAGTCCATCCTGTTCATCCAACTTGGTGATACTCTGTGGACACCTTTTTTTTGGTCACTGAAAATATAGACAGATAGAATTTTACTTGTAATGGCACTTTCTTCCTCACTGATGGTGTCTTGATCTGATAAGAGGTGCTGGGTCATTGACAAGTGCAGTTGAATGCACATGACAACCAGAACTTTATTCAAGTTCCAAGTCTGCTTTCTTGTCTTCCCATGTCCAGGGTCACTACCTGATATGGGGCCTCATGAGGACAAGTAGCCAATTAATGCCATGTTCTAGATTCCGTTGCTGGCTCCGAGTCAACATCTACGAGATCGTTTGACAATTATCTTCTTAAACATGTTGTTTGGCAACGAAGACTCTTCCATCGAAGCAGTGGAGCGGGTGAAACGGCAATACTAGACGGGCACTGTGGTTCTCAGCTTGGTCATGTCAGACTTCAAGTTGATTCAAGAGATAGAGCTCGGTCTTTGAAGGCACCTGGCACCTTGGAGGTACTTACGGAAATTGGATAATGGCATTTAAGAATGTGTAAAACCTTCCATAGCAAGGCGCAGCTGCCTGCCCTGCTAGGCACAATTGTTCAAGTTCATCATCCTAGTCGTCTAAAAATAAGGGGTGATCACGACGCAGCTGGCGATTGCCAAGGGTTGTCGCTGTCTCTCCACACCCCTAGCTGTGTCCTATAAAGACACGGCGATCCAGTTGTGTTCCGTGTCGTAATATTTTCGTCCTGTTTTCCTCTTTCCCTGACGACCCCTAACATCACCATACTTCATCCTATTTCTACATTACTCTATATTGATTGACAATACCTTGGTAACGGCGACCTCAGTCTACTTCGCAAAATATGCGGTCAACTGCTTACTCACGGGTGCCCAGGACACCTCCATTTGCTAAACCCGAATGTACGTTTACCCAAGTCTCGAGCATCGGGTTGAAGCTAATCTTACTTTCGCCGGAATATAGATTTCACTCGAGGCAAATATTCCGACTGGTACTGTAATGTATGCACCCTTCGCCTGCAGCCCAAGTACATGAGTGCAACGGATGCCTTGCATCATGAAAACAACATACTTCACAATCAAAACGTAGCCAACGTAGAGTCGTCGCTGGGTCCACCGATGGTGGATTCCTGGGATTCCGAAATGCCCAAGCAGGCGGAGATGTCCAAGGACGAGGCCCGGGATTCGGAGTATCGATACTTTGTTGATCATATGGGGGAGTACATCTCCTATTGGATTAGAGGCATCGAGGCCGCTAAGAGAGGCGAGGTTCTGAAGCTTGAAGATTACTTGGACTCGCTGGATCACGATGGACCGAAGGATCCACGGGGGAGCTGGGGAATCACCCATCAGTCCAATACGAAGTCTCGCAGGGACGACTGTTCTTCTTCTGATGACTTGGGATCAGTGTATGCCAGCCAAAGGAAAGCTGGCAAGGGTCCGAAAAATAGGGTTAAGAATAAAAGGCAGGAGTTCGATGGCCGATTCACGGATGAATCTTACGTCTTCGTGGAGAGGATCGCGCAACGCGAGGAGGCGAATGCCAAGAAGAAAGAGTAGATGCATGACTTCTTCGAAGTAAGGAACGATTTTTTGCGCCTTAAAGGAGCCTTCGTTTCTGATTTACTCTTCAGATGCCTATGGACAAGAACGTGCAACGCATCAACGAGTCGATAAAGAGCTTGCATGCCACCTTGCACGCATGAACTTTCTGGATTTATTTACATCTAATTGAACGATCATAAGCATCCATTTCTTTACCATCTTGTACCGCATATTACTCTCACAGCATCTATACATCTCTGTACCGTAATCATATAGGAATGATACCTGCTATGTAAATCCTATAACGGCCCCCTGCACAACATTGATGACGTCAATACTCCTACTGGGCGCTTTCCAACATTTGGTCACACTACGCATTCACCTCTTTCACATTCACTGCAATGACTTGCGATACTAATGACCAGGCTCTTCCCTACGGCTAGAACAAACGGTTCCATGAATCTGGCCAAAGAGTCTCAAGGAATGAGACAATTCCTCCAAATCCGGATGACGGGACAATAAGTTTGAGCCACAGTGGAACGCTTCGATCTCGTCTCATGGTGTTCAACAGAAAAGATCTGAAAATGGACCATTTTATCCTCGCTTCGGCAGTACAATGTACGAATAGTACAGAGAGTCAGCCAGGTATTCATTGAGAGAAAAGATCATCGCATACAAGGAGATACTACAACACGGTAATTAATGATGCGGTATTCTGAATGACCCAAATTTGTTAGAAGTTGAAGGGCTACCATGGTAAGCGGTGAGAGAGAGCAAACACGAATGCAAATAGGAGGGTAAACAAAGCAGTGCTACTCATTGCTTCGTCAGAGCTAGAAGAGATAATTCTTGCAGGATCGAAGTATGAGCAAGGAGAATGTGTCGAGAAGGGAACAATGACTCCCCAGAAGGGTACAAGAACTAGCTGTCTCTGATAACGATAGCAACCTGGGCAGCCGAAAACTGAAGAGAAGACAAATCAATGGCTGGTAAGTGACACACAGTGTATAGGCTCACATAAAGAAATGCTTGGCATCAGTTTTGAACAGCATCAGTTCGGAAAGACATTTCAAAATTGGTTACGCACTAGGGGTTCAATCAAAGAAAAATATAGCAGGAAAAATTTGAAAGCATTAGGTGTTAAGAAAAGAAGAACGCCCAATTTGGCACCTTGATCATAGTGAAAGGACCCTGGGATTATGGCACATACAAGTAATAATAAATAACGAGCGAGACCAAGAGTCCTACACCTACGCTGCAATGTAAGCAAAAAAAAAGTCAAGAAACGAGATGCAAAAATCCTCAATGTGAAGCCCAGCCATCCGAGAAACTTTGTTGAAAACGCTCAAAGTTCTTTCCGAGGCAACGCATTTCGCGATAGAACCTCTCGTAGAGTCCGAGAGAACTTTCGTCCGTTCTTCGAGCATCACGATGTCGTTTTTACAGATGACGTGAAGTGTCGGCGTTGCATACGTGGGGTTAAACACGAGATCGGCTAACGGGTCTGATCCTATATCCTGCGATACAGACACTAAATTGACTGGACGTGTATGGTTTAGTTTTGTCACAACAAATGCCAAGGGAGAGAACTCACAACGGGGGATGAGGAGGCTTGCCATCAACGAGAATCAGAGGATACGACTGAGGATTTTCTAGCTGCTCGTGGTTCATGAATCAAGGGCCAAAATGGAGTCTATCTGTTGGCATACCAATGCCGAAAGAAAGGCTGCCATGGCTGCACCTTGGCCAACAACAGCAATACATTCTAACTTTACTCTAGCCATGAGCATATTAATACTTACCTGAACCCAAATATACCTTGCGAGTGGACGCATTAAAGGTTCAGCAAAATGTGTCTTCGTGATGAAAGAAGGTCACATACATCAAATGTCCTCTGCTTGGGAACATCTCTGAGCATCGCGAGAGATTCTTCCAGTCTGGTAGCTCTAGTGAGGTCACAATACACATCATACCACCTTCTAGGCTGGCCATCAGCGGGATAAAATAGCCACTAGTTCAGTTTATGACGCGTTGGCACGTAGATCAGCCGGTGAGATGATCTGGGGAGGGTCGACGAAAACTAGAATAATACTTCATGGGTGAGCCTAGAAAATTTATATCCATACGGACGAATCTACTAATTCGATATCCTTGCCGCACTTTTTTCGAAGAGATCCAAGCTAAAGAAGCATGATGTTAACAGCGGCTTCTCTCAGATCTTATATTAGAAAACCAACGCGTTTGCTGAAGATGGTTGCATTTTGGGCGTATCTTTCCCACAGAGTTGTTAGCCAAACGGGCCTAAGGAAGCGCAACGAAATACAAACGTACCCGTGAAGGACTAAGACAGACTGTATGACGAGTGGGGGTTGAAGGGAAAAGAAGCCGGACCGGTGAACAACCTTAAGTACTCACACTTAACGCCACGCCTGTGAAGAAGTAATTTCACAACGACCCTCTTCGCACGATATACACGCTACTCATGCAAATTCTAGCAGCAAGGATATCATAGTTAGCTGGGATGTTGTCGAGAAGGTTGATTCGGCACCCGGGGATTCGCCTTGTGAACTGGAGAAAGAGCTGAAGTAAGTACGTATAGATCGGTAAAGAGTGCCCGCTCCATCTTCGTTAGGTTCCTTTTGCTATCGAGTAATAGTTCCCCTCTTGCCCGCCGGCAATTATTCAGCACTTGATGATAATCTTTGTCAAAAACATCCGGCAGTGAATTCGATCTCCCGTCGAGGATTGCTCCTGGGCGGTGATTGATGATCCGAGGGGTATGCCACCCAGAGAAGGAACAGCCTCTCTGTCGTTGTGGCGGGAAAAACTTATAGCTGGGCGCTATGAGCTTCGGGTCTCCGGAATGGATCGTAAGCAGAACATGATCCTATACCGTCCCGTTGTTCCATTAAAGATAGATGAAGAACATTCGCTCCCGATTCTGAAGGCCGCCTGGGATAGTGGAATAAATACCATCGACGAGGTGGTGTATTTATGGAAAAGGTGCGTAGATATCTATCTAGTATTATGCTCTCATGGCTAAAGTGCGGAAGTCGACAGTACCAAATTCCCTGCCAGGAAATTATTATCGGCCCCTCATTCTTTGGTGCAGAATAGCATGGCAGACCATCATGAAGGATACTCGGGCCCTGCTTAGTAACTCTGGCTTCGCAGACCGCTTTTGGGCAGAAGCAGTATCGATATCCATCTTCACACGTAACTTGGCTCCTTCGCGCTGTCAACCTGAAAAGTGGTGATATAAGCGATATACTCTCCAAAGCAAACTAGAGAATTCATACGATTGGTACAGATACTCGTAGGCCGGACGATCCCAACTGACGATACTCGACTGGCCCCAGCTTGAGGACCACCATTGCGAAATTACTGGCTGATGTCGATAATAAGGGGGGGTGCAAAGAACCAATTCTTTGCCAAATGCTACAGAAGTCGCCCTTTTATAACCAAAGCGACAAACTGTGGGTTGTACACGACTTCAAAATTTGATGTAAGGCGTACCCGATACTAGGACTCATCGACATCCCTGCTAAGTACCCCCTTGGTTGTCGGCACCTGCAGAATTAACAACGTCAGACTCAGTTGAACAACTATTTTAAATGGCAGTGGTTAGGCCAAAACAACTTCTGCGAATGAGACGAGGGGTGGGACATCCAGTGACTCAAGTTCCACACAAGTAATCATTTAACCTACTCGATAGTTATTCTGCATCCTGAAATGGGTTCCGATTACAGGTTTCCTTTCCCCCAAAGTCATGTTCCTTTGCGACTCAGCACCTTGCACGTCCCAAGATGCCTAAGCACTTCTTCCTTCCGCGTGTGCGATGACAAACAAAACGAGCATAAAAACTCCGAAAGACAGTGCATGAGCTGGAAATGCTGCGTAAAGTAAGTGCCCTGCACGGCTGCTCCTGTACACCGTATTTTGGGATGTGACTTGACTATACAGCAAATCTTTCTGCGCTTCGAATTCAGTCCGGGGTGGAACATCGTGAAATGTTCTCTGAAAGAGTTCCCGACGAATTTTTGCCCACACGCGAAAGGGCAGTCGTGGACGTCCGCGTCGACATTCCGTTTGTAGCAGAATGGGCCGTTAGCCGAGACGCCATATGCTTTGACGATCCGCTTGCGCTGGCGGTACGGAAATGAGACTTGATGGAATCCAGGGGGGCTACCAAAGCACATAAGTGCATAGTATATTACTGAAAAGAAGAAGTACTTGCCATGGCTCAGGAGACGGAGATCTGCAGGTTAGAGTATGGAGACTTGGAGTCAAAGTGAGGTTGACGTGAAAACATCACTTACGGAGACGCCAAATAAGTCGTTTTAAATCCTGTGCGGAAAAGGCTGCTCTCACCAGGCCGCTTTTTACACTGAGGGCGAGCATACGGATGATAGCGATGGATGGCCCTGCTGCACAATTTTATCAATGTAACTGCATAAATGTAAATTTCAAAAAAACACGCATACTGTTTGGGAGAGCCGATCAGACGTCCGGAAGGGTTGAAATGGCAGATGCGATTTGGGCCTATGTCACCATTTCTTGTGAATGTGGACCATCCAATGATTCCCTGTTCGGCAAGCCACCCTTTGTAGTCGAAGTCGCCAAAGTCAATGGGGTCGCTCAACGACTTGGGAGTAGAAACGAGAACCGGTTGTGGGGGTAAATATGTTTCATATGATTGAGTTGCAGGATGACCAGTCAAAGGAAGATATGAATCGTAGTTGGTGGCAGAGGTGCCGTGTTTTGGTAAGAAGGGAGGAGCTTGCGGATTGTCGTATATACTAAATGTCCGTGAGGAAGTGAAAATACCTGAAGCGAATAAGACGGCTTACTATGAGTGGGAAGTCATCTGGTTGGCCAAGGTAAATGTGACATCTGGATCATTTAGAGCCGGTGCGTTAACATTGAAATCCCCAACACTGAAGAAAAGATGGTATACGCTATGAGGGGAACGTCGACCTGGATTAATAGCAATAGGTGACTCACCTACTAAACAGATGATGGTCAATCGGTTGATCATGATGGACATCATAGGATGGAAAGTTTTCTGGGAAGTCGAAGAGATTGGAGGTGTCGAGCGGAATCTGCAGTTCGGACATAATAGTTACATATGTGAAGGACAAACGTCGAATAAGTGGCGAAAGTGGCGGTTTGGAGAAATCCCTTTCCGCGCGCTGGCACTGTATATAACTTGCCTTTCGTAGGGTGGCATTTATCTGGATTGGCGGACGCGTCGGTATGCATATGACGTAATAACAATGGCACCTAGAAACGACATCATCTCTCCCTCTTTGTTTATTGCCAAAGCTGTCGAAGGGAAACAAACGCTCGTGACAGCGAGACTGGCTTATGTAAACTGATGATCTTGGAGGATCTCTTGGCAAGTAGAAAGTATAGTAGAAGACACGACGTATTACCTTATTCGGCGCGTTCGCCGCTTTCAGCTTCGCCGACGTTGACCATCAAAAGTGACTCCACCGATTCCTGGACTATAAGTCCGCCTAATCATCAATGCGATACATATGAGCCATGCTGTGTCTCGTTGACGAGTATTAACGCCGCTCGTCGAGTGCAATGTTGGTCGCTGAGGGCCCGTTCCCAGAAAGATAAGTGCTACTACAATTAGCTTGAGACGTAGTCGGAAACCAGGAGAACGGGGAAGTTGAGATGAATCCAAAATTAATTCTCCCAGAGGATACGAATGCACGACGAACGACACTCTGCCGTCCTCGGTAGGAGAAGGGATAAAGCCATGCTACGGCCGGCACATATCCCAGATAGGAAAGCGGCTGCAGATGCTGGCCCTGCGGACCGAAGTTGATCGTGCTGCCAACAACCATCGTTGGCTTCGCTCAGTACATTGGCTGAACGAAATGAACAAAACATTTTTGGAGTGTCTCAACGTAGCTACACCGAAAACTATTCTTGTGGTTGTTAGTCAGAAGATCATCTCTGAGTTTCTCGCACTGAAGCATTACTTAGGCGGGCTTGTTCTCGAATCTCCGCAGTCTCAGTGGCACCCATTTTTTTTTTTGGTAAAAGTCATCTTTTAATTTTCACAGCCTAAGATTAAATTAAATACTACTGCCCTCGCAGCAGGCTGTTGGCAAGAAAGAACCATTCCTTCCCAGGACATCATCCAGAATTACAGAAATCAGATTGCTTCCTCCTTGGCCTTACCAGTCGTATGTACATGCGAAAACCATTCCACGATTCGAGGCTCACCGACATTCGACATCCAAGCAGAATCCCATATCGGCTGACAATGGACCCCCGATACCTGCTCATACATCTCGACCTGTGGATGATAAGGCTCAAGATACTTGTTACAAAGCCTCTTCTGACCCTCCATCAAGCACTCCACTTCTCCCCACATGACGAATACACTATCCGCCAGTCGGTCTATTCCGTTAAACCAGTCTTCTGGCGCTTCCAAGGGATCGACGAATGGGATGTCCGTGTCCGATATATCTTTCAGGAGCGTTCGACAGACATGGCGGCCGTAGAGAGAGCTTATGTTATCGTACTTGTGTTTTGCATCGAGCAGGTGCTGGGCTAGCCCATTGTCGGCTTTCATGGAGACCCAGGGAGACATCAGGAATACCCCACGGAAGCGCGTCTCTGGGATTGGCTCGACGGACGGTAAACGATGGAGGATGTGGGCGAGCATTTGAAGGACCAGGTTACCGCCCGCAGACGCGCCTGCGAGGGTGATATTTTCGGGTTTGGCTCCCCCATTCAGAAGCATATCGAGCGCGGCTTTGGTTTCGCGTAATTGAGTTGGGAAGGGGTTATCTGGGACGAGCTCTGCTTGGATCATGAACGAATCAACGACATGTGGTGGAGAATAAGGAGACGCACTGTAAGCTAGGATTGCGATGCCCACGTGGATGTTTCGTTGTCTGAGCTCTTCGTGGAGGTACTGACAATATGTCATGACATTCCCGGAGCAGCTCATCATGTAGGCTCCTCCTAGACAGGTACGACATTACCGGTGCAACGAAATGAACGGCAAGGGAGAGGCGCACCATGGAAATACAGAATAACTTGATCTAATTGCTTTGGACCGATCCACAGCAAATGTGCACCATCAGGTAATTCATCGACCGCTGCTGGCAGATTACTGGATTCCGTCCATTTCAGATAATTCTTCAGAGATGAGGACATGTTCGACCTCAAGTCGGAATGGTCGATCGCGAACCGGAAGGCCGCAGCCATGCATATGGTGCGCCACGAATTCGACCGTTCGCGGGTGAAGAACGAACAGACGAGCCTCTTGAGGACATAGAGTGCTACGGTTCGGTGAGCTAAGCATGCTAAAAACTTTATGCGCTCACGAAGCAGTAGCATCACGCTCTTCGAATACATCTTTTCCGTTACACTGCCAGGAGCCATTAAGCAGTCGTAGTGGGGCGAAAGAGAGTGCCGGGTACCCCACGTCGGCTCCGCATAGCTTGTTTCTCTAAAATAACACCCCTACCCAGTGATAAAAGGTCAAATTAACCCGCCCGGTGATCAAAGTGGCGATATATAATTGGAACGTATGCCGTGCTAATTTTAAACGAGAACAAGAGAGGGCGCAAGGCTTGAGTCATGAGATGATGGAGCAGTGACTTTTTTGCAAGATCAAGTGATGGTCTACGCTTGATGTTGATGAGAGGGCCACGTTCAGCACAGCCATTAGGGTGAATGCATCTGATGTAAGAGCTCGTTATTGAGAATGGAAGATGACGAACATGGTTTGTACCGTACGCCACGGCTGGTCATACTGATGAAACTGCGTGTCATTTATATGGTCGAAGATAACATCAGGAGAGGTCGGAAAATGCGTTGGGATTTCCTTCGGCTTCTTGAAGGGAGCGCAGCGTCAACGATGACATCCTTCTCCCATCGCCGTGCTATTTCTGACCGATGGAAGTTACGAAAGAGGAAGGAATAGAATACAACGTGTACTTGTGATGTTCCCCCCCGCCCCCTTTGTCGGAGAATAGAAGTGGAATTCCCTCAGCCTCTCTGAGGATGGACATGGGTGGGAACACCGATACCAATTTCTTGCGCGAGCTTGTGCTCGAACAGCAGCAGTTCGTGTCATATGAGCCCAAAATTCGCATGCCTCGGTCCGGGTAACGGGATTTAATTCATCATGGGTTGTAACGGTGAAAGGCTTGTTGCGTCCGTTAGTGGGTACAAGAGTGAGGACCAGAGAGGATTCTCGTGATGCAGATGTACGACGCAGCCGCAGCCATACTTTCGCGATTGGGCATTGATATTAACAGGAAGGCGCTACGGAATAGAAGCGAAGTGCCATATGCCAGACACGTACGATGTATAATATGTCAAAGTCATTACATCCTTTTCATCAAGCGTTCTGACAGGTAGGAGTTTGGGAAGTCCCACTTCCGGCAGCGGTGGGGGGAGCATGATAGATGATGGATGCGAACTCCTAAAGGCGCTCGTCAATATTCAGCGCGGAGGCTCAGGTTGCGACACATAATTAAGAAGCCGAGCGTTGTTCGAGGGCAGATATTGATGATGATTGAATGTATCCAATATGATGAGCAGATTCGCTCTGTATGTAAATCTGGACTTTTACATCAAGGCACAGTACGTAGCACCGCGAATTGATGCAATGATATTTCGACCTTCGAACATCTGGAGGTACCGGCGGTGGTGTGTTTTTTTCAGTGACATAAAGTCCCGGTTGTCTTCGGCAAGACCAGTCGCGGTTCGCGGGGATAAAGAGTAGGTGCAAAGTGTCCGACGTGGTGCACGGAAAAACATAGATGTGTAAGGCCGACTTGTCAGGGTAATCATGCTTCGAAGGATCGATTCGATTCGAGCTGTCACGCATAATGAGTGGCGCCACGAGCTCACCCTGGATGGCCAGCTGGATGCTGATGGCAATTACGACCACGATAAATGCATGAACGCTGAGCGATGAACAGAGCATAGAATCAAGCTGAACAATGGGCGGCCGCGACGTGCGGAAGTACGGTTACGGTTACGGTTCCGGTATTGTAGGACGGAAGCGAACAGCTGGAGAGACGGAAATTTAAAGGCAAATTGTAGACATCGATCGGTTAATGACTCCCTCTTTCTCTCTGTACTGTGCATCGCCGCTGTGTCAAGCAGGGCTGATTTGCATTTGATGACTCATATGATCCTTTGACCGCGGGCGCAGCACACGACTAGATATCTGTTTGAAAAGAAGAAACGATGGAGGATGCAAGTAATGAACAGGCTCTTACCTCCTAGTGGAGTTGCCATTCTCGCTTTTTTGTCAGACGAGATCTGGGTTGAAGCGACGACACATAAAATCTCGTCAAGACAGAGAGGGTAGAACGGCCTCTTCCCTATCACCGCCATCATGAAGGGAGATGAAGACTTCGGACGATGGAAGCCGTCCGCCAATAAGACGACCACCGTGGGAAACGGGAGCTTCTCCGGGCCGGATCAGCGCGGCAAAAGCCGGCATGCCCTGAGCTCTCACCCTCTTTTAAAAAATCGCGAGCTCGTCGTCTCGCACAACGATGCCGAGCATTTTCTCGAGGTCCAGGTCGACCCCAACGCCACAGAAGAATCTTCGACTCGACACTACTGACGAATTCGGGCGAGTGTCGTCGAGGTCGTCACAGCTGCCATTGCCACCGCCAGACGGATTTCTACCATTCACGCTCGACAGACCGCGCGATGCCACGGAGATCGATTATGGGTACCTCGCGTACGAGAGGCACGTCGTACTTGGCCTTGAGCAGGTCTCGCACCTTGTCGACGTCGTCAGCGAGGAACTGGGCACCCGTGGGGGCATAACGACGCCCTTTATCTTCTCTTCCATGGCACTCGACCTTTCCTCAACGTCCACCAAACGACTTATACGAACATTTATTGACGCCTGCGTCGACCCAGACACAAAACAACGTCGTTTTCGGGAAGAGGCTCGATTTGCGGGGCCGCATGAGCTAGGAATGCTGTTGCGATGGGGGCTCGGTCGGCTGGTGCGGATCGCGGATGGACAGGAGGAGCGCGGTATCATTTCCTGGGACCATTACACCGATTTCCGAGATTCAGAGCTAGCAGCCAATTTCCCACCCACCCATTTCTCGACGTTCTTACCGCCATTACCTGCCCATTTGCGTTCCATAGTTATCACCGTGCTCAGCGTCCTCACCCGCTTGACGGCGAACTCCTCGTCGTCGGGGCATACACCACCGACGCTTTCACCGCTGTTCGGGCCCCTCTTCTTCGGTCTGGGCCCGCCGGCACTCCCCTTCCACCACACCTATATCTATTACCTACGCGCTACCAATGCGATGGAACACATAATTCTCTCCTTCATTCGCTTCCAGGATAGTCCACGTTCGTCATCTGCGTCCATGGGTGTCCCTACGCGGCTCAAGGAGTGGATAAAGGGATACCCAATTATGCTTGCCGACCAATCGTTAAGACCACAACCACGCAAAGGCGCTCGTACGTCGCGCGTCCTCAGTGTCCGCCGTAACGTGCGAGCCTATACGAAGGATCTCGTCAAGTCTGCATCGACATGGGAGTGTAATCTGGGGAAAATCGTCGGCAAAGCACCCGTCAAGTACTCCGATGGCTATAGGAAACGCATGAACATGCCCTCGCAGTTTGAAGCAGGAGAAGAGGACGGAGAGAGGTTCCGCAGCCTGACCGATCTCAAGTGGGGAGAATTCGAGTCTCTGGGATTTGGCGGCTTGGGTCAAGAAAAGCTGCAGTTTGATTTGAACGAGAGCGCCAGGACGGTGAGTATATCGATTTTATATCCCTTGTAATTTGTAATCTTCTCATTATCTGCAGGAACGAAACATCAAACGACAAACGCTCAGTTGGAATGACTTCTCGTCAACGGGATTCTCAAGGTCGGATATAACGCCTCTGAGCGCGACGTTGCAGTTTTCGCCTCCAATGGCGGCCACCATTTCTTCCTATCAACCAGCCGAATACGCCAAGAAGCTGAAGAAGGCAGCAAAGCACATACCAGCGTTTGGATGGGACACAGAACCTGTTGTAGGGCAGGAAGAAGTCATTGAGGAGGCGTTTTTAGACGTCTTCTGCGACATTCTCTGTGGCTGGGCTGGTGTAACAGATATGAATGAGGCTGACAGAGAATGCAACTGGGCCCTGGTACGTTTCTTGGTTTACCGTATATATTCTACTCATCAGCCTTGGTACAGATCGAGTTCCAACCTGACGCTCTACTTCTATTCGAAGAGTTTGTTCCCCTCGAATATCGGCAGCAAATAGGCTCCTCGTCTTCTGGATCCAGTCGACGCCGCCTTCCATCGCTATTCTTACCCACATCGCCGTCGTCAAGGGTAAAGACCAAGTCGAAGAAGGACAAAACGGAGCGCTCCAAGCCCAAGGAGCTGAACCCCAAGACTTCGTTTAAGGAGGTCGAGTTCGAGGGCCTACTGAAGGGCGATGGCAACCGGAAGACCAAAGTCATCACTCTTGGATCGAAGGATATGCAGACGCATACGATGATCGGCTCTCCGAGTGAAGTCGAACCTCCTCCTCCCATGTTGCAATCGCTGAGTCACGAATCGTCTGCTAGAAGTGACGACTCCTCCTTGACTGCGAGTACCATCGGGGGCACCCCCTCAAATAGGCGTCGGTTTCGATTAGGCGGTTCAGGGACTCCGACCAATGGTGGCTCTGTCATGGGACGCAAGTCCCTTATCGGTAGCCTTCCTCCTGCTGAGTACAGCAGTGTGGATTTTGAGACGCGTCTGGCGAGTCTGGATGGGGAGGATGTATATGAGGATTACCCACCTTTCGATGGTATGCCGAGGAAACGGGAGTTTGCAGACGATGCGTGGGTGGATATCCTGGTCGGCACTCAAGAGCGACGTATGGCTGGTCAGGAATATGGTGGACGGGGGAAAGGAAGGGGAGAGGATGTCGACCTTGTTAGTCTCGAGGTGGAGAAGGCGCTTAAGGGTGTCAGGAATCTGAGCCAGAGTCCAGAGAGCCAGCGAACGGAGAGAATTCCCGTTCGAAATGAAGAGGAAGAGTCTATCGAAGTCGAGAGGGTTCCCTCGAGGCTTGCTATGAACGACTATGTCGATGACCCTCGACATCCACAGTACTATGACGACTCGCTGGATTACGATGCGGATGGCCCTTTGGTGACTGAGCAGTCGATACAGTCGCTCCACTATGATCGGCATGAAGACGAGGAAGACGAACGAGATACGGTGGAGCAGGAGCAGGAGCAGGAGGAAGAGGAGAAAGAGGAACCGGAGCCCCGACCCGCACCACCCAAACGACCTGGATACTTTGACCTTCACCCGGAACGACGGCCCGTCGCGCAACTCAATGGCGACGGCGAGGACCCTCGAGCTAGGTTTGGCCACGATAGCGATTCAGAGGACGAACACTCGGGGCCGGGTATCAGGCCGCTTCCTAGGGTTCCGCCCATCATCAACCTCGACGAGGAGCCGTCACCGTCGACTGCGCCGTTGAAGGTACCCAGCAAGACTGCCGCCCTGATTGAGATATACCGAGAGCGGGAGCGGAACGGGGGGGCTTCGCAGGTTGCCCCGCCGAAGGCGCTGCCTACTCCCACCCCGAAGCTTGTTACGATACCGGTGCCGGTGGAGGAGGAGGCGGTGGAAGAGTCGGAAGAAGATGTATCGCCACCCCCACGTGTGCCTGTGATTGATGAGGACCAGGGTCGTGCGAGTCCGGGGCGGTACGTGCATGGAGCGCCACTGCATAATGTTTTGGAAGAAGAGGAGGAAGAGTAGATTGGTGCGTGGAATTATATGTATCCCCCCTCCCTTTTTTTTTCTGTTATCTGGTTGTTTCTTATGCTTGCTCTTCATATTACTTATTATACCCTCCCTCCCACATATACACGTGCACCCTCCCTGTCTCAGAATTCCCGCCTCCGGTTACAAGGAGCCGGACTCTTTGATTCTATACATACATACGTCGCTCGTTGACATAAATTTACTGGTCGTCTCTTTTTTTTTTCTTTGGTTTATTCCATCCATTATCATTACTATCATTCTCTTTTTTTTCCTCAATCCATATGTTATGTTATTTCTCCATATTGACTTGGCCTTTTTCGTTACCCCCGTCATTATGTCGATATAACGAGCTTCCATTCAAGGCTTAACCCCGGAAAGAGAGAGATGGGAACCGGTGTTCCGGCCCGAGAGCTGATGGTTTGTAACGCTGCGATGGGAGAAGAACGATTATATGCAACTGGTGGTGTAGTTCCCAGCGTTGAGAGGAGTGTCCGTTCGATAGAAATAATGTAGATGAACAAAGTTGGTGAGGAGAAATAGGTTCTAAGGTGGATGTGTGAAATGCACTTGCGAGCAATGGAGTCTGCCGCCGATTCTGATAGCAGAATACCAGGTGCTATATGTGCCTGAGCTGGGCTCGGTGTGAGTATCGATCAGGAGGTGTTCTCTATTCCGAGATTCGGCTGGCGTTGAATGGATAACAAAGCACATGAATACATCCTCGCATGGTCAACACGGGGGGGGGGAGAGATTTTAGCCGAGACAGATCGGTCTGATCTTGGGTTTGGGCCCGGGATTTACGGGATCGTCAGCCTTTTAGGATGATTCGGGGATGGTGGCAAGGGAGCTCTTCACGGAACGTCCCCAAGTTCGTCTTCTCAATTTAGTTCCACAGCGTGTTCACCCAGTATTCTATATTTACCCTGACGCAGCAGGCTGTTCTCGTAGTCTTTTACGTATCTATTATAGATTCCTCAAGCCCAAGATAAAGGACACATCTGCTGGCCTACGTGTAACATCTCGCGGTTTCTGGCCCAGCGAGTCTCTAATGCTGTAATCTGACTCCGGTAAGGAAACAGCTTTTCGTTTAATGGGTTTACCAGAAGCTATGATGAACACATGCAAGTGTTACCTTGTGTTAAAGATAAAAATACCTCTGCGACCCATCATGGGTTCTAATTTGAAACAGGTGAGTATTTTAAGTGAGCGATATTTTGGACGTCTACGCTCATCACCACAACGATAGTGGACACACGAAGCATTCCATCCGCTCAAGTGCCACCGAGGGACGTTATATATTTGAATTTCAAAAGAAAATCGCCATTCTCATGTCATTGTTCTAACGATTCCATCTACTTTGCGCACCCAAGAGAGGCCGCGAGTGCCCTGAATTTGACATCGCGCAATTCCGTATCTTCAGGGTTACAATAGGTGGCAACAACTCGAAAGTAAGGAGCGTCAAAAGCCTACCTTCAAGACAATTCTTTTAGAACGCAGACGTCTCCATGCCGGAAATCTGGGACGATAATCATTGGGACAATGTCAACAATGACTTGCTCTGTTACCTTTGTCGACCTAGGTTGCCACTTCCGATTGCTATTAAATGCCAGCCGACCAAGATGATTCTGCCTCATCCTACTTTCCTCCCCTCAAGTCGCGATAATCTATTTTCTGCCCCATGTCTGCTTCAGAATACTACGACACATTGTTTCCCTTCTACCCGTGCGTTAAACCTGTCTGGTCTACTTCACAATACAGTAAGATTCACACCACCGTTGCAGAACATACGGTACAATTCCGGCAGGTACGGACGCGTTCGAGGACGACGACGCGTAAGTTACTGCCTTGTCTTCGTCACACCTTCCTTCATCTCTGTCCATGTCAATAGTCTCAATTCCCAAGGGGAAACTAGTCTCTATTTCCCACCAGCGTCAGGCAAATTTCCTCGATGTCAAATGTTTTGCTGACGTTATTATCCAGATTCTCTGGCTTGGCTACCCCTCCAATGGAACGGTTCAATGCCGCAATTCCTCTGTACGATCCCGACTTTATGATGTTCGCCTTCCCATTCGACCAGCCCGAGGAATCCTTCGTTTCGCCTGTCAATGCTTTTATTCCCCGACCTTCAGTCTACGATGCGACTGCCGCTTCTTATCAAGAGGATTTTACTCAGGACATCGATTTCACTGGTCCAATGGTCGTCCAACGCGAATTCACAGCTCCGAGTGCCACGACCATGCTAGCAACTCCTCCCGTGACTCCGCAGCAGCGGCGAACTGGCAAGCCTCGCAGCAGTAATCGATTCGAACCGTATGACCTTCGTGATCGTTCTACTGGCAAGTGCTCCGAGGACCTTCGGCCGGCTCGGTCTACGTCCCCGTGAGTATTGCAGTGTCGGTTATAGTGGATAAACCAACGAAGATCTCCCTCCAGATCTCCGAGTCCCCGCTCGACTACGCGTGCTCAGGAGGGTTCAGCGAATGCTCCGGTTGTCCTCAAGAGCGATACTGTAGCAGCTTCCGTTCCTTCGTAAGTGGTGGCCAGTTCGTTCGAGTCAAGGGATCTGACTGGACTGGGATCTTCAGCTCTACTCCGGCTTCGTCGTCAACTGCTCTGAAGTCAGGATTTACCATCAAAAAGAAGATCTCTAGGGCTAAGCTCGGCAAGAAGCCTTTGCGGAAGGTGCCTAAGGCAATCCCGTTTACAATGACCCTTCGGGCACGGAAAAGGAGGAGGCAAAGATACTCGGTGTAATGCCTCGTATATTACCCATATTGCATGACGTTCATTAATCACTCTATCCCTCACTCACCACCCTCTTTTCTTTCCTATTTTTATCTCCATTATACCAATTCTTTTAGGGAACCTCATCGCTCTTTATAATCTCTGCTGTCGCTTTTACCTTAATTTGAATCTAATTCTTTTTTTCCCCTGCTGAATCCTGACTGCTGTTTGACTCAGCGTTTATACCATAAGGACCTGCCATCTCATGAACTACATGAGAAGTGAGGGTTGTATTGGGGTTCTGGTGGTAATCAATCATCACACAGTTCAAAGCCATGGTGTGTTGGAATTGAGGTGCTGGTGGTTCTGAGGGAGGCGTATTGGACTCGAAGGAATGGTATATTTCGCCGTAGAGATTAAGGACAGTAGGGGTTCGGAGTCAAGTCAATAGGTACGAAAAATGTCAAAGCATAAGGTAAGCAGTAAATATATATAGAATATGATATTAAAGCCGTGAAAACCGAATCTCAACATGGTGGCCTTGAAGATGGAGGTAAGTGTAGAGGGAATTTCACAAGGGAAAGTCGTCTTGATGCTTGTGGTACTATAAGCACGCTAAATTCCCACGACGCAATGGCCGCATAGCTTAGTTGTGGTGTGTTTAGCTTGAATAATAAATGGTGCCAAGAAGTTGCAGGTTCGAATCCTGGTATGATAGCTTTGAGGACTGATCGTGTACCCTTTTTTTGGAAAGTGACTTAATTACTTGCCGATTTTCACACCGATCCACGAACTTATTGAGTGGACGACATCGATTTGAGCTTACTTGGATGGGATAGTTACCGGGTACAATTCGATGAAAATGCACTCTATTCCCAAAGCTCGAGTCCACAGAGAGTAGCGCCAAAAAATCGTTGTCTATTTATCCCAACCATGAGAGATCTAGAGACGATCAGAGATCTGGGTTGTTGATCAGAGCCCAAAGCCGTGCTGCCTGCCATTGACCGGTGCGAGATAAAGCATCTGCTGTCACTCAAATACTTCTCCTTGGTAAGCGTATAATGCATCGAATCCAAATTAAGCTTTAAGCTGCATACAAGTGAGCCAGCGCATAGAGGCCATGAAAAGATGATGAACTGCCGATTTTCAGTATAAGAGCAGCCAGTGCGAAACAAGCCATGCAAGTTTTCCGATAACTTTCAAAGACCGCGAATTCAGGACCAGCCTCCGTTGTCTCTATCGACGTCTTTCCATTATATTCTCCGTCAGCTTTCTCTAACTATCACATATTCGTGGTTGCACGATGAGTATTAAGAGATACTCATGACGTCAAAATTGTGGATCCAAGGTGAAAAAAAATGGATATTCCGATTTCAAAAACAAACGAATGCTATCGCCATATTTCTGCATACTGTACACACGTAAATACTGCTTTCTTTCACCGACACACCATCGAGTGACCCACGGAAAAGAACCGGAAAACACTAGCTCGAACCTTTGAACCCTGACAATGTCCTATTTCATACAGCGCACAGAACCCGTTTCAGCTAGGCATCATCATCTTCACCACCGTCATCAGCCTCAACCGACAGTCGCAATCGGATCATGGAGCAGCACATCCGCACCGATAGGATACTCCGGATTGAACGTAATACTCGTACCAGGTCGGAATATTAAGCAATGCGTTGACCCTCCAAAGTGGAACATCCCCAGCTCGTCGCCCTTCTTCAGGACCTGGCTTTCCTGAACAGTGACCTCGCACGTCGACACCTCCGCCATTCCCACGGCTATGAAGCACATCAGGCCAATGCTGGGGTTATCAGCTTGGATGAAGATCAGCGAGCGGGCAGCCACAGCAGTGATGAAGCCTTGCGAGAGGTCGGGAGCGGCAGGGTCAGGGTCCGGGAATCCCATGGCAGGGGACTCGGCGTAGTATGTGCCGGGGACCAGGACGATCTTCACAACTATACCGCTCACTGGACTGTGCCAACGGTGGTATTTGGTGGCGCTGAGGAAAGCTTGATAGACGGTCCCGCCGACAAACTGGGGCGCGAGAGGGTCGTTGCTGAGCATGTGATTGAGCGAATAAGGCTCGCCCTTAAGCCAGAACGTGTCGAGCGCTTTGATGTCAGAGGCTATATTGTAAACGGTCGACTCGCAGGCGCTGATGACGACATGGTCGTCATCGGGGAACATGATGGGCCGTACGCCAGGTCGAAAGATTCTGGTGAAGAAGTTGTCCCAGGATGTAAATCCATAATATTGCGCGGTGGGATCGCAAACGTATGTCTCTGTGAAGTTGGGCATCGCGGCACTTGCGGCGGGACCAAACCAACCGGTCGTGTCGGTGGTGAGGACATAGCGCGAATCGGACGAAGTGAGGAAAGCCGTCCAAACGTCGAACATCTTCTTGAACTGGGCGTTCACCTGGTCATTGACGAAGGCGGTGAGGCCTGCCGGGGTACCCATAGGCCAATCGAGGATGGCGTTGATTGGGAAACCGACCAAGCCGACTTCGTAGTCAGATTCTTCAAAGTCGGGGGCCTCGGTGATGATTTTATTGAACAACGCCAACATGGTCATGTAGTCGCGAACCTAGGAGAAAAGGGCAGTCCATGAGATTTTGAATTGTAACAAATACTCTAGGACAATGGTGCACGTACCTGTGGTTTCCCTGTCGGATCCTGGTCGTAAGGCGGTTTGGTCGGTACTTGATCGAACATCTGATGGAAGTCCATGTAGATTTCAGCGTTGGTTTCGATAAGGTCTTGGAAGTCTTGGATGACGGGCTGGAAGGGCTGCGGGTCTGCTTTAACTTGGGCGATCTTTTTGGCAAGCCAGCTTTGGAGGACTCGATGATCGCGAGGCAGCCAACCGCCGACTCGATGACGAACGATGATGGACATGGTGTTCTAGAAGAGGTACGCTGTCAGCAGAGGTGGTTACTTGACACGAAGAGGAGATGCAACCAAGGGCAAATATGATTTGGTACAAGGGATAGAGGGGACGCTGGAGCTTGAAGACTCTAACAGGATTCCGAACGTCTTATATACGCACCAGAAGTATCCTATCTGGATTTGGTTAGTGAATACCGAATGGATCGTATAGACAGAGTAAAACAGAAAGTCGTCATCGGTAGCTCTACATCTCCGTGGCGAATTCCCGGCACATTCTCCCGGAAAATTCTCCCTCAAAGTTCTACTGAAAACTATCTGAAGGATGGAGACTTCTCCATGTCTTTTTTTTAAATAATTCCTGTAAAGCACGAAAGAAGCGGTCCTGTTTGCAACACACAAATGACAAGGACATACTTCTACCAGGAATAAGTTCGTTGTACCAAGTGGCGATATCAACGGGATGCTGAGGAAAAACATCGAAGTGTTTCAACCTCCTCGTCACGCGCTTGCCACCGCGGTTTCTCTGCTCCCGCCCGTGCTACGGTGTTGGATGGCCACAGTCACGCGAAAGGAAGCGGAAGCGGTAGACATACAATTCTAAGATCAAAAGGGTACGATAGGTCATTCGACAGCGTTCATGGAAGCACCCCGAATAAAGTTAGGGTTTGAGGTCCCCACAGAGACACTGCAGCTGCGTAGCTCGACAACAATGTCAACCAACTACATTTAGATTGCGGAAATTAAACCGCATACCATAATTATAGCTTTCCATATATTTGGTGAGAGGACATTCGAAGAAGCACCATTGCTACCGCTGCCGCTACTTGCGTAACAAAGCTGTTAGTGCGCTATAGTGGTACTAGACTGAAAGTCTCGAGGGATACAGAACTCGCCATTAATGCGGATGAATGCCATATTAAAAAGAGCGCGCTGATCCTGTGACAAATGAACCCGTGATCTGCATCCGGATTGTTAGAGAAAAGGCAACGTACAAAGACTCGAGTCCTTATTCCCAGGCATATCGTGTAGAGCTCTCATTGATTCAAGAGGTAGAGGTGCACAGAAGAGGACTATCCTCTTCAAACGCCTTTCGATTATCGATATACTTTCGCGAATTTGAGACTCTTACACAGCGAAAACGAAACCGGACCATAGTGGTAGTAGCCAAATTCGGGACGTTAACGGTATTGGCTCATAATTAAGGATGGATAGGACGAAGAATAGGGTTTAGAAAGGGCCGGTGGCGGACACGGGGGAGTACTGAGAGCTAGAACATTCGGCAGAGCTGATTCGCATGTTAGCGCATGACGAGCAAGGAACGAGGAAAAGGAACGTCACAAGCTTCTTCATCGAGCTTCTCTGAGCTCTAGGATCCGCATACTATTACCTTTCCCTTGCCACTCTCTTCTCTCACCTTGGGTAAAAATATCCTGGTGGACAAGGCAGAAGACTCACTACGCACGAAGTCGCGTAGGTCACGCGCTTGTGAGGGTTAGTGGCTTGTTCCTGAGGCCTGGAGTAGCGCACTTAACGTGTGCTAAAGCGGCCCCGGTCGTTCGTAAACAGAAGCAAAACGTGTGCAGCCAGCCTCTCACGCTTACCGGCCCTAATCTATTCTAGATTCACGCATGTACTATTTTTTGCCTGATCCTGTCGAAACTGGAATGGCCTGCAGCGAAGGATGGCAATAAAAAGGTATGTGACCACTGGTTTCTTCGCGAATCATAAAAGGCTCATGCTCGAGCAGGCCGGAAATCCGGGACGGATAATCCGTTGGGACGTCTCGCTAGGTTCAGGAGAGAGAATGGCGAAATGCTATTGATAGTCGTGGGTTTAGCTACAGAGAAGCGGAGAACTGGTAATCCTGCCCTGAAGTGCACGTGGTCACGGAAGGACCGGACGTACTCAACGCTCCCACCGTTCCTGCTATTTGCATAGCAGTTGCACTGTACGGATGTAAGCCCTTCAGTACAGGTTCGTCGTCTTTTGCGCTTAATCTCCATTCCTAAGCCCGTTTCGGACTGGGCATCAACTGGAATTCATTGGTACCAATTGCTCGCAGACAGGCATTTGTTGCTGTGTTCCTTTACATACTTATGTGAAGGCATACAACACCAGTATGCCGCCTTGCTTTCGTGGTCTGAAGGTTTTATAGCAAATCTTCTGGTATTAGTTCTACGCATCTCGGTTCGGATCTACCTATGGGAATTTTGTGATTTTACTCGGAGAACTTCCATGCACGCTGTGAAGTAATCTTGTACAAGATCCTATGTACAGCGTACGTCTAGACCTTCCGGTTGCTCTGTATGAGACCGAATGTCATACAATAGAGCGTCTTCATGTGATTCTGCCTCTGGAACTGAAATCTCTGGTCGGGTGATCTCCCGACATTGGTGTCAACACTTGGTCGCCGACGAGATATGGGGAGCTGGAGCAGAAACAACGACAAAAACATAGATAAATTGCATAGGTATCGAAGTAGAGAACATGTTCAGACGACAAGGGCATTAATGAGATGGCAGAAAGGGGCATGGAAAGGGAAAAAAAGGGGGGGAGACCGGATCAAATTAGCCGGATCTTTCTTTCTTTCTTTTTCCTGCCGCTGTCCTGTATTCGTTCACCATTCAAACTTTGACCATTTATCCTTCAGAGATGGAAGCGCAAACGCCGAGCACGTACAAGATACTGGATATGTTACTATCAGAGTCGCTGGTGTTCTTGAGCAGGAAATTTATTCCAGTGCGTAACGCTGGTCTGTCCTATTATCATTGACTATAAATCTGATCTTTATGCAGAATCATATCATCTCATCAAGAAGCTCGGCGTGACCAGCCTCTCATCGAAAAGCCAAGCGGAACTTCGATCCTTATTTCCACGGTTGACAGAAGCCAAATGCTGAGAAGAGAAGTATTGTTACGTTGATTTGGATTTGGTTCGAGCTACCAGTATACTGTGGTGCATCTGTAGACCTCTTCATCTGGCGACTATACAGCTTACCTTTGTTCGCGTAGGACTGCTTATTCTGGATATAAGATATGCGGTCTCCGCCACTAGGATGGGGGTTGACCGGTCTGTCTATGTAGCTGCGGCATGGTTTATTCTGTTCATGGTTCGATTTCACAGGACGTCGCTTTAGCTGATTTTATAGAAAAGACGTGGATCCGGATCCAATATTATCGGCGTGGTCCCATATTCGATGACCCGAGACTCATCAATCATAGCAAGACCCCGCCGAGGTGAGAAAATTTGTATTCCCGAGCGTCTCCCAATGAAATCAAGCCAGTAGTTGGAACCATATCGCTAGGTCCAAGAGAGGGAATCGGGAATAACTAGTGATAGTCGTGGTTGTAGCTACGAATAAATGGGAATCTACAGCAATGCAACACGTGATCTCGGAGGAACCGGACCGTGCGAACGCTACCACTGTACGACCTTAAGCTATGAGTTCATGCAACGACTCGTGATGTACCGATAGGGCTGCTATTCAGCACCAAGGGGACGGAAGGTAGTCGCAGCTTACTTTGAGGCCAGATATGGGGACAATTGAGCATGCTATACGCCAGAGATGAAGGACGTTAAAATGTTTTTTGTCCGTCAAGCGTACGTTTACATCTATCTTATCTTCTAACGTCGAGCCGACTGGCCTTTATAGGGTATAGTCCGGTCACAGAATAATCAATATGCTCTCCTGCTTCCATCTTGCATCAGATAAGCCATGTCGTCTCCCGTCCGAGATCATCGTGTCTCCGATAATGGCGATCTTCGCATCTCGGATTGACAGGGCAAGATCTCCCTCTCACATCCACTCATCTCTGAATCTGACAAGACACAGTCATCAGTACCTTCGAGCTCCGAGCTTTCACAAGTCTCACCGCCGCTCTCGAGATTCCTTCCCCAGCCTCAGCTCGCTCTTCAATGTCCAACACTTACTTGAGCCCTCTATGGGTGAATCGCTGCTGTCAGAGGACAGTTTATCACCCGTCAGGTGTTGGGGGAAACTCAGAGTCTATGCTAATCACCGGACATAGATTCTCTGAGGACGTACCATGGGACAGTCTATTGTTCGCATTGCCTTCAGTTGGGTCCTCCACGGCTTTCATAGGTTATATGCCAATCGAGCCCTTGCGCCGGTTACTGCTTGCGCTCGCTAATTCCTGCTAATAGCGATTCATAATTTGAGGCAGTGCATCGATTCGCATTTCACATTGCCGTAGTTGATTACCTGGCGGAAATAACGTGTAGATGTGGAGGGCTAGATTAAAATTCTTCCGCATCGGCCCGGTCCGGCTTACTTCTGCCTTTCTTTCCTACAACGACGAATAGGCATCCGATACAACCGGTACGACAAAATCTTTGGTACGACGCGGGGTCGATTCCCTACAGAGAGTGCAATAGTAAGTATGCATAACTGTATTCCTGTCGAATTCCCTGTTCTCATTCCAATATGATCTAACGCCACTGGATCACTTTTCTGGAACGAGCGGGTGAGCCTGCGAAGACACGAACATATAGCAAATCAATAACATTTTGTCGATAAACCAGGCGCATCTCGAGTATAAGAATTTCCCCGAGGTTACGGTCTCCGCCTTCACAGAGGTCGGCAGAATCATCGATTTCAGTGCCGAAGCAACGATCTTACATCGGTAAAATGCCTGTTATATCATCCTCAGTCGCCAACACTCCTTGCATCAATCTCGGTGTCCCTGGACTATTGAAGAAGCTCAACACCATCTTCGGAACGTCGTACATTCTAGATAACCCTTCCCTTCCCTGTCATATCTTCTTGGAGCGTACGTTACCGAGGGACCGCATATGCCTATCTCCGCCCCGTTTGGTATGATGACTTGACAAACATTCAAGACGAGCTATGCGCCCGCTGGATCGCGATATGCGGGAAGACGTACTTGTCAATAACACGATCATAAACCGCGATATGTACCTCCTTGGCGTGTTTGGGATCTGTACAGCAATGGGCCATGGGAGATATCACATGCATGGCAGGAAGAGATGTGGCGACGCCTATCAATGGAGATGAATGGCCAGTGCCGGTAACTAAGGATGTCAACTTCGACCTCATCCGCATTGAGATGGTGAACGCGGGTGCAGAGTACGCATCGTTGGACGTGCTTTGTTCGAGACAGATGGGCGGGCGAAGGGAGGATCTACATGCGAGGGAGTGGCAGGTCGATGTACCTACCATCGGATTTTTGTTATCGCGGCGGAAGAGTGGTCTGCTACTTTGGCGAGTTGGGACTGCCTTTGAGCATGAACGCGGCTGACTTTGAGAGCGACTGAATTTGGTTCAGACGCGCATGGACGCTCCAGGAGACCTACGAGGCTCCGACCATTGGTAGGAAGACAGGCGAAGATGGGTTTATGGAAGAGGAGATACAGGCGAGGTTTGAAAAGGAACTGTCGTCCTTGCAGACCACGGATAACAAAGGAAACGCTATTTGTCCAGCTTGAAATGATGCAGAAGCGGGTGTCAACTAATCCGGTGGATAAGGTTGCAGGGTTGGCATGCCTTCTCGGGCGAGAGGGGGATACCAGCATACGACGAGAGACAGTCTGAAGAGGATGCGTGGATTGCGCTGGTAGCTGTGATGTCGCTCTGTATGTGGGAGGAATTGTTCTTCCGATATCCTCAAGCCGGGGACAGAAGCAAAATTTGGCGACCGTCATGGAGGCAGGTGATGAACGAGGTGCTGCTATCGGCCAATCCCCGCTGGTTGGGGCGGATTACGCGGTCGGAGGAGGTAGATGCCGACTGCTATCATGGAAGCTGTTTATGTGCAGGGATTGGACATAGGATCATCAGAGGGGAATCGCCGACAGGGAGAGTTGTTAGTCGTCGAAGATCACTCTGGGGCAAAACATACGTTCAAATTTGTCGCCGAGTATCAATACCCGATACCGGAATGATTTTACACACTGCTGTAGACGATTCGGCGCCCCTACGTGCATAGAACAGCAAGGTCCTTCCACCTGGGCCATAGCTCACAGTTTCCATTGTACTTATGCTTATTGTTACTTCCACTCATTGTTACATTACTACGCTAGGACCACGGACAACCAGTATATATGCTTGTACATACTACATGTAGATCATGATAATACCATCTCTAGTTCAGTTTCTCTCTCCTCTGCATTCATTACCATCTGAGCATCTACACTGCTAGGTAACAAACTGTTTGATAATGATGAGGTCAAAGTGCAACCCTGAATAGTTGGGCAAAGACTTGAGATTTCTGACTTAGAGGAAATGAAGAGGCTGCATATTCTAGGCATTGCTACAAAGGATATGATCTTGCTTGCTTGAGATGAGTATACCTTTGTGGTGGCTTCTTTATAGTACAGGTTCATCAGCAATGGCTGGGGGCCTCATAGCATGATGATATTCAATGAAAATTGAGATATAAAGTATTGAGTTTTCTTTAAGACAGAGATTTGAGAGATAATGATGCTACTAATATATAATATTTAGCAATGGCTATGCTTCATTGATTATAAACAAGACTCCTGATTATCATGTGACATTCTGTGCTTCCAAGAAGATATTGTTTCAATGAAGCCTGTTTGCCCAGAAACACTGATTTCCACCACAATACCTATGCAAATAGTTGCAATATCTCTGTCTCAGGTCTCACAGTCAGGCTCTACTTCTGGTTGACAACAAGTAAGAGACTAAAGGCAGACCCTGCAGAATGACCTCCAATAAGCAGCAGGGATAGAGGTTGCCCAACATGCTTAACATCTACATTAGCAATCATTGCCCATAGCTCTCATCACTGCCCCTTCCATTTCTGCCTGTCTTATGCTTCCATCAGAAACCTGCACTGGATGACAGAATCAAGGGTGTCTGAGCATAAGAATGTCAATGAAGATGTATGAGTATTAATTAGCCTGTAATGTCCAGCTACTTTGTTCCAGAATAAAAATGATATCCACTGAGATGTCTTGTGAGAATTACATTCAAGGAGATGGAAACTGAGGTTGGAGGTGGTAACCAGGTATTCACTCAACAGAAAATATGCAACAGATGAACTGAGCTCCATGTTTCCAATGATGATATGAAAATAATTGAGGCTGCAATATCAGATAGAGGATAATTTAGACTGCCAGTGGAAAGTTTGGGGTACATGGCACTAGAGGCTAAGAAATCAGATAGTATGAATGTCATAGATTTAAGTGGCCAATATGTGACATTGAACATCTGTATGGGATGAAGAATATTAGCATGATAGAGAAAGATCAGCAAAATAATACACATGGTGATATAACTGTCTGAAGAACAAAAGATGAATTGGCAGGATTCCTTGTGCATGCAGAGGTTCACCAAACTATAAGTGATGATGAAAGACCCACCATGAGAATGTAACCCATAGCAATGAGTAGTCATTGCAAAGAGTGAGACTCACCATCTGATATTGTTTTCAACAATGTCAACACATAGGAAGTTGGTGTCTGATATATAAGTCTTTGCTCTGGGCCATCCAGTGTGACAACAATTATATACAAAGAAAAATACAAGGCTTGATGGCAAAAAGCCTGAGGTACTGAAGGATTGAAATGAGAATGAGAGACTGAGCAAATAATCAAAAGCTGGATCAAAATATCACCACAATTTTTTTTGACATGATGCTCACCTTTGACCTCTCTCTGACATGCCATCTCCTATCCTTATGTTTACTGCCCTGGATATATGGTTATAATTTTTCTGAATTCTTTGCTAGTCTTTTGAATGATGCTGCATCCACAGCAATCTGCTGCAGAGTTTTGTCACTCTCAAGACACATATGTACCTCAGTTCTCAGCTCTAAGTATAGACCAACCTCTCTTGAGTCTGAAAATCAGCTCCTCAAGTGACTGCAAATTATGAAACAATCACTGTGAGATGTGAATTTGAAATGGAATTTGAAAGTATGTTACCTTGATATCTGACTGTGACACAAATATGTCAATCAACTCATCATGCATATCATTTCAAATAACAAGCTAAGCACAGATCATTAGATCTGGTGAAGGAGCTGAGGATATTTCAAACTTGTAAGATATACACAGTTGACTATCTTGCAATGCATACAGTCAGGAGACACTAAAACCATATGCATTTATAGATTTATGCAGAACCAAAATAGTACATGATATGACATTTGATATATATAACAATATCATCATTGCTCCAAAATGCTGTCAGTGGCTTTTCAGTCAGCTTTCCATGCATATCCTTGAATAATGCTCCTCTCAACTTTCTCAGCTGTGGTACTAATTCACTCTGGTCACCTTGTGAAATACAAAATGCCTCCAGCTTTCAAATAAGCTCAAATCCTTCTCTTGTTGTTATCAAGGCCTGTTCTTCCTCACCCCTCTCTTCCTTCTCTTCCTCCTCATCATCAATGACAGTTATTTCCCTATTTTCTACTGCAATATCATGCTTGACAGCAGCAACAATCTCCTCATCTGTTGGCATCACCTCAAGATCTTTAATATACTCTTCTGCAATAGAGTTAACCATTTTTTCAATAGTTGGAATGGGATGAAACATGCAATTTTGTTGTTTTAATTTGACAAGGTGGTCATTCAACATTATATCTGCTGTCTGGAGCTGTTGAATGCAGGAAATTTGGGTTGGAGGTGTGTTCATTTTTGACTGTGATGAAGAAGCCAACTGATTGACTGCCTCCAGTGCTTTACCAACATCATTCTCTGCATTCATAACAGCTGTAAGAGCAGGACACCAGTCAGCATCAGCATATTGGTTTCTAAGCAGATCCTGCAATGCCTGTTTGAACCCTGAAAGCATGTATTTGTCTGTTGAGGCAAAGTCATGAATAAAGTTCCATGCAGACTTGAGGAGTGTGTAAGATGTCTTGGAAATCATTGGGTGGTATGGTGGACTGTGACTTGGGTGCATTGTCAGGCATTATACCAGTGTTTCCAACAGTTTGCTATCATTTCACTGCTAACATTTGCCCAAGCATCATGAGCAATAGTCATAGTTTCAAGGAGATCAAGCTTGAAGATCTCAGACTCTCCAAAATTATCAAGATCAAGTGCATAGATATACATGGCATTCTAATAATGTGCCTTGAAGCAGCAGATAATACCAGCATCTAGCAGCTGGATATATGGAGTCATGTTGGGCTTGAAGAACTCCAGCTTTGTGTTATAGGGTGTATAAGTGATGGAATGCCCTCAAAAGTTGTCCAAGGTCAGCAGAACCTGTCACATCTCCCTCTTCATCTTTAAATCAAACATCTTCATCCACTCTGTAAATATTTTGCTCATCATCCAGGCCTTCTTATTATTCCAATAATAGAATCCCATTGCTGTTGGACTCTTTTTTTTGAAACACTGTGGTTGCTTTGACTTTCCAATAAAAACAACTGGCATCTGCTCACTCCCATCTGCATTCACAGCAAAACACATGATGATGTGGAACTTGTCCTGTTTCTGTCCACTCATAGGACTAGATGCTAAGATACAATCTGGGATGGCAAAGATCACAAGACCAGATTCATTAATATTTCATCTGTCCTGCATCGCATGTTTCACCATAATGCTGTGAAGACACACATGTTCTTTTTTCACTGCCACTATATCCACTGAGCCTGCTTCTCCATGCTACTGAACCTCCTGAATCTTCTATGTCTTGCAGAATGACCTCAACCATCCCTCTCCCTTCAAATACTAATCCTCTGGAATATCCATCAGATTTTCAATCTGATTTCACTTCTCTATCAGGATTGCACCAGTCACAGTCTTACTTCAGAGCTGCATGTTCTGATACCAGGATACAACAGCTTGCTCCACATCAGGTCAGGTGACAATCCAAGACTTTTTGGATGATAGTGCATTAGAGTTCTCATTTGCATGCTGTTCAATTTTTGTATAAGATGCCAGTTTCCATGAAAGGGTTGGTTGGATAAAGAGCAGTGCATCCTCCTTTTAGTTTGTGAAATAGGCCACAATGTCAGCATATCAATGAGAAGGATGGTTATCAATATGTTTGAATACTATGAGCCAGTCTTGTGTTGTGAGGTGTGGGTGGGAGATCTTCTTTGGAGGCTGAGCTGATGATGTGTATATTAGGACTTTCTCCTTCTGTTTTGTGCACTTGTATGGATTTCCAGGTTTAGCATGTGGTTTTCATGTTGGTTCAGGAGGCATGTTTATAGAGATATAGGCTGCACTGCTTTATAATAATTCTTTTTGTGTTTGTCATAGTCTATACAAACAAATTATGTTCTTTATTGTTCTAATATATATACAATGTCATATCAGCTTACTATAATTTTGGATCTGACAATGCATATTCTTAACTAAAACTATATGCATTATGCAATATGCATTTCTAGTCCATTTCTCTGCTCCCTGACTGCATTTCAGCCTAATCTGTATGCAAAGTCAGAATTATGTATTTCAACATCATGCATTGTGAGATAGTCAACTGCAATTCCCACAAAAACATGGAAAACTAGTTCTAAAACAAAGATAATAGTGAAAACATAGCAGAAAGTTCACTGTCTATGTGGATGTTGATTAGAATTTTCACCAAATTCCAAGACAACTTGCCACTATTATACAACTACTGCTTGATAAAAGAGGCCATTCAACCTTCAAACTGCTCCCACAACTGCCCACAGCCAAGATTTATCTACTCTGATAAATTGCTCTGTGGTAAGAGTACTTTCTCTCCCTCTACACTTCAAGTCTCATAAGCCATGCAGTTGGTGGTGACAGACTTCAAATCTTTGACAATGTCACAGTCAAATCAACAGAGCTGGAAGCCTTGGTCTGGCTGCTTCTGCTCCAATCATCAGCTGCTGTCCTATCACTTCTCTACAGAAACTATCTCCTCTCAATATCTGGATTGGTTGACTCACTGCAATGATGCACCATCACCATCTGAAGCAGACAAA